ACACCAAAGTTTAGCTTATTGTCTGTAAGTATGGCTGCGGTAAAGACATTTTTGTATTTCCTAAATTAGCTGTGGCAGCCATCTTGAATTGGATTGGCTCCAAAGATTGATAAGTTGCAGATGTCCATTGAATGATGAATTTTTGAACCAGTTTAACATGACTGTCAACGAGGAAGAGGGCCGGCACAAGAGGAGGGGGCGTGCCAAAGAGGCCATCTTAGCACCAACATAACTGGTTTGTTCCACTTTGGAGTAAGCTGTTGGAGGAAGAATCAGTTTTGTGTTGTGTGTTTCCTTGATTGATGAAGCCTTCTGGATGGAAGGTGAAACGTTTCAGCAAAAAAAAGAAACTGTCCAGATGACCTGACTGAAAATTGTTGGATTGTACATCTGGATTATTGAGCATGGAACTTTTTGACTTTCTGAACGTTTTATTCATCCAGTGATTCTTGAGACATTTTGGTGAGAGGCGGGCTCACAAACACGCCATCACCTTTTTGTCCACCGCCGCGAAGCGTCGAGGGAGAATTGGAGGTGTCCTCCATCCATCAGTTCGTCCATGCACGTTGTGAGCATGATAACTTGAAAAATAAATGAAATACTGACTTCCATTTTGGTGTGTGGCTGCATTTAGACGTAAAAAAGGTCTCCGTCCATGGGGTGGCCTGAGATTAATCTAGACCTCCATTTCTCCATCGTTCTACAGAGAGAAGGATTATTCACAAGTGGAAAACGTTTAAGACAGTGAACAATCTTTTCAACAGATTCACCCTGAAGGTCAGACCATGCAATGCTCAGAGGAATTACCAAACACACTCAATATAATTTTTTTAGAGCAAAATAGACGCAACCTGCATCTCGTACCCCACATCTCGTTCCCTGTAAACACTCTACAAAGAGAGTCGGCTCCAGATTTCACGTGTTGCTCTGTTAGATGAACCTCCTCGGGTTTATTTCATTCAGCGAGCTGTTTTTAGCCTTTAGAACAGATTTACCTTTCAGAAAGTCTTGCACCAAACATTTTTCCCCCGCTCTCTCGTCTGTCTCCTCTCTGTAGGAGAAGGTTTCCTGCTGAGCGTAATGTGGTCTGATGCTTTACCGGTGCAGGATTAACGGCAGCGCACGACAACAACCTGAACACGTGTACGGTACACGGAGAGGCTAACGGGTCTCCTGCCGGCAGCTCTCTGTGGAAAATAAAAAATCTAAACGGCGAGAGGAAACTAAACCAGAGAACCTTCTCTGAGAGACCCAGTTTAGAGCTAAACACCAGAATATTTTCCTTTTCAGGTTAGTCAGATAATTGGTTTGTTTCATCACACACTTAGGCTGACTCATACTTTAAACCTATTACATCATCGTCCGAATTTTAGACTAATTTATCTCCAAAAATGATAAAATACAAGTCTACTACGAGTAAAAAAAGTTTATTCTGCAGGAAAACTTTTACTAATGAACCCAGAAATGATGTCTGTGTGACATTTTTGTTCCAAAGATAAAACAAATCCAAACCAAATTTACTTATTAAAACTTTTCCATTCGAGTTCAACTCAGCTGAGAGTCATGGGAGTTAACGAACGAGGAACGAGCTGTCGGCGTGACGAGGCTTAAACACCAGACCTGACAGCTCTGAGAAATATGATGAACTTCTTATCCAAAAGTTTACAACGTGAAGGGAAAAAACCAGGGTCTGTGTAGAGGGGGGTCAAACCTTGGGGGTCAGTGGTGTTTTCTTTTTTAATACTTTTATCAACCAATAAATCTGGGTACACATGACCTCAAAGCACAAATCGACGGTCATCGTTGAAATCTTGGTTAGTGCTTTCTGACTGATTGACAGAATTACATTCTGAGTTTTGTTCATTTAAAGACTCTGATGAAAGATGTTTGTGTGTCTTTTAGCAAACGTGAACCACTGGACACATTTTCAACAAACCTGAGGGGAGGGAGGGAGGGATGGATGGATGGATTAGGTTACTTGCTCAAGGACACCACGACATGTGGGCATGGCGGGGAGTTGACCCTCCAACTTTCTGGTCCCAAGTCGGCTGCCCTACCTCTACACCATCTCAGCCCCTTAAAGTATTCAGTGGATGTCGTTGTACAACTGATTGACTTTTAGATAAAACTGTTTCAGAAAGCCAGATGTCTCTCTCCATTGCCACCTCTTCCAGCTGTTCCCAGACCATAAGAGAGACGTAGTCTCTTTAGCGTGTCATGGATCTTCCCCAGGGTCTCTTCCCAGTTGGAGATGCCCAGAAAACCTCCCTGTGGAGGCATGCAGGGTCCATCCTTACCAGATGAACCACCTCAACTGTCTCCTCTGGATGTGGAGGAGCAGTGGCTCTACTCCGAATCTCTCCTGGAGAACTGAACTTCTCATCCGATCTCTAAAGGAGAGTCCAGTTGCCCTACAGAGAAAACTCATTTAGACCTCTTCGATCCAGGATCTGGTTCTTTCAGTCTCTACCCAGAGTTTATCGGTGAGGTTGGGAACGTAGACCTACAGGTAAATGAAGACCTTCTCCTCACAGCTCAGCTGCCTCTTCACCACAACCAGGACCACCTTAACCTGCTGACCTGCTGGTAGATCTCGGGGCTAAGTGGTCCTCTAAGCCCTTCCGCATGCTCTTAATTTTGATTATTTCTGTTGAAATTGGATTTCAAGGAGTAAATTGACTGATCCGCATTTAGCTGAACACGTACACTTTGTCTTCCAGGGGGAACTCTGTGTAGAGCTGCTGTTCCTCTGCATTGAAGTCAGTTGAGGTGGTATGGGCATCTGATTAGGATGCCTCCTGGTCTCCTCACTATGGACGTTTTTCAGGCATGTCCCACTGGAAAGACCCTCAAAACTCGCAAACGCTTTTGGATCTCCCAGGATGGCTGGAGAGCATCAATGAGAATAGGCAGGTCTGGATGTCTCTCCTGAACCTGTTTCCTCTGTGACTTGACCACGGGTAATTATTAGAAGATGGGTGGTTAAGTTCAACATTTAAGTCTTGTAGTTGGTTCCCTGGAAAGTGTTGCCTTTCTCCCAAATTTGTCAACCACTGAGAACATCTAGCAACAACACACAAAACAAGAGCAGGGCATCCAAAAGCCTTTCAAGAAAGAATAGAAAAACGCTACATTTAAAAAAATACAGGAACAAGGTCCAATTTATTTCCTAAAAGTAACTATGAAAACAATTGAAGCCTCCAAGTTTTTAACAAACCATAATCCCAACATTTCTTATGAACGCTGAATTCAAAATGACTGTGATTTCCCATCACCATTATGTTGTACCTTTGCTGCACGACAGTTTTTCCAGTAATTTCCTGCTTGTGTATCACACAGTGACTTTCGAACCTTCAGTACGTTCAGAAACACAAGCCGTCCCCGTCCTCAGCTCTGAGGGGAGCACAACGGTCAGCCCGTTATCTCTAATTAAGAAGTTGACTGAGGCGTGAAGATTAGCCGGCCACAGAAAGCCTGCAACGTGGTCGGCATTCCCTGTCGGTGTAAAGTATTCTGGGAAGAAGGAAGTCATCAAAGGGAGGCAGCAGGACGAAATTGGTGTTTGAATCTGAAGTTACACTTTTAAAACTCAGAGTGCTTCTGTCTGTGTCGTACACCTGTTCTTTATTGACATCACCGCCTGAAGAGGTATAGTCAGAAGTATCCATCCACTCGTGACAAGCAGGAATTTTATTTAATGTTGAGATTTAATGACCTATTTGAACTGATGTTTTTGTTTCCCAGGGAGAAAAGATTGGTTTTAAAACAACTGCATTCATAATTATCATGTTCTGTTGTTTAGTTGAACCCAGGGCGCAGACGGTCGTGGGAGACTCAAGGATAAAATAAAGAATATTTATTTAAAGACATAAAAAGACAGACGTGGCAGCACAACTTACGTGGAGGATGTGAACAAGGAGACAGAGGACGAGCATGAACGCCTTGGGAGGACAATCCACGGACAAGGAAGAAAGAGACACAGAACTAATGAGAGAATAATCACAGACACCTGGGGACGGGCACCGAGGAACAGGTGATAGTGGCTGGAGCTGATTACATGGGGGAAGAAACACTGAGGAAGACAGGAAACACATGTACATACAAAAATCTACAGAATTGACACAACACAGATTATTAATAATACATTAACTTAAATTCATTATGGAATGCTGAAGTTTCTAGAACGTCTTAACTTGACAAGGACTGTCAAGTTCTCATTAGTGGTGGTGTTTCTTGTCAGCATGAAAATGATTTGACAAAAAAGTTCAATGAAAGAAAATCGGTATGGGAAAATCTGTATCGGCAGGTTAGAGCGATAAAAAAAATCTGATATCGGTCTACAAAACCAGAATCGGTGCATCACTACTTTCAGACCTAAGAAGATTCAATCCACTGTCCAGGATGGTGGTGGTAGCATCATGATGTGGTACAAAAGGGACGAAATAATGAAAAACTGAATTTTTCAACTTCTTTACAAACAAATGGACGGTTGAAACTTGGACACAGCTGGCTGTTCCAACAAGACGAAAATCCCAAACACAAGTCAGAACTGGTTTTTGATTGGACAAAGCAGGCTGAAAATAATCCTTGATGAATAAAAATAAAATAAATCCTAAAGGATTGTCATTAAAAGACCGGTCGTGCAGGAATCCAACCAATTTAACTGAAACCTGCCAGAAGCTTCTGGATGGAGACAAAGGACAGAGGTCCAGGTGACAGCTGCTGAAGGACTTTAATCCAACATTTAGAGGGGGCATGGATTTAAATGAGCCTGTATGTATAATTTTGAACCTTGTGAATCAGAGAAAATCCATAACAAGTTCAGCTGCAAAAACAAAAACAATGAAACAACCCGGGAGGAAATAATTTATACAAAACAGAGAATGTGAGAAGTTTCTCAGCTGCTGTTGTGGCATGTTATCAGCTGGTTATACGTGTGTTTAATCAGCTTCAGGAGGCCTGAAGGTGAATGTTTGATAATCCGGTCGATGTCTCCGCAGGGCCGCCCACTCTTCCTGCAGTCGTCCAGAAACATCTCGGTCAATATCGTAAACAGCAACAACCAGCTGCTCACGCAGCTCGTAACAGGTAAGGCTCGACAAGACGTCTTTCGTGTAGCTTACTGCTGGTTTTTAATGTGAAGCGTGGGCCATTTAAAGCACTGGTTCTGAGGCCTCCATGAGGAACACACATGAAGCTGTGGGTGATACATGAACAAGAAGGTGCTCATCCCATTCAACGAGCTCTGTGGGTCATTATGCAGGAAGAAGTCTTGATTTGTTTTGTTACCGACATGTCAGGTAATCCTGACCAGAGGACTGGAGTTAGAAACTGTAAACCAATGAGTCTAATCTCAGGTTAATCCAACCCCAGCGCAGTATAGACATGAAATTAGCATTCTTGAAAGAATACTAATGACCTGCCATCTTCTGCCAAGGTTTTAAACAAACATTGTATACCATTTGTTAATGCTCAGAGTGTTTAGGATCACGTTTCGCTGCCACCGCACCAAGTTTTAGCTCATTATCTGTAAAACTGGTGGAGTTGTGGGTATTTTTGTCCCCAACACAAAGCAAAGAGGGGGAATTGGAAATTTAAGAAACTGGAACTGGAATGGGCTAAAATTCCTCCATGCTGGTGTGCAAGACTGATCAACACTTACCATAAATGTTTAGTTGCAGTTGGGGGGCGTCACACCAGATACTGAAAGCAAAGGTTCGTATACTTTTGCCACTCACAAATATGTTGGATCATTTCCCTCAATAAATAAATGATCAATTATAATATTTCTGTCTCATTTGTTTAACTGGGTTTTCTTTATCTACTTTTAGGACTTGTGTGAAGCTCGGATGATGTTTTAAGTCCTATTGATGCAGAAATATGGAAAATTCTGAAGGGTTCATAAACTTTCAAGCACCACTGTACATATGTGTAAACCAGCCAGCCCGAGCATTTGAGGAAGTGATGCTTTCTAGTTTTTATATTGCTTCAAAGTATCCTTTCCTCCAATGAGTGGAGTAGTAGAGTGTATCTAACAATGTAAACTGAGGGATCTCACAGTTTCTCATGAGATTGTAACATCAAGTACGAGGTTTGACTAAAACAACCGAGTCCGTCTATTTTAATTTAAAACTCTGACAGCCGGCAGGTGGTATGTATTCCTTCAAGGACTGATGGACCTTTGTTTTGTTTTAAAGGTTTTCAAATGTCCATCCATTATCTTGTGCTTATTCTGAAGTCAGGTCTCGGGGGCAGCATCTTGAGCAGGGAGGTCCAGACATGTCTCTCTGCAGCCTCTTCCAGCTCTTCTGGGGGACTCCAAGGTGTCCTCAGGCCAACTGAGAGACATAGTCTCTCCAGTGTGTCCTGGATCTTCCTCTGGGTCTCCTCCCAGTCAGACATGCTCCAAGCACCTCCCTGGTGAGGTGCCCAGGGAGCATGGACCAGATGCCCAAACCACCTCAACTGACTCCTCTGGATGTGGAGGAGCAGTGGTTCTACTCCGAGTCTCTCCTGATAACTGAACTTCTCCCCCTGTCTCTAAGGGAGAGTCCAGCTCTGCAGAGGAAACTCATTTCAACCTCCTGGATCCACGATCTCATTCTTTCAGTCTACAGAGTTCATGACCAGAGGTGAGGGAGGAACGTAGACCGACCTGTAAACAGAGAGCTTTGTCTTACAGCTCAGCTCTTCACCACAATGGACCGGCACAGAGTCCACATTACTGCAGACGCACCAATCTGTCCGTCAATCTCACGCTGCATTCTTCTCTCACTCGTGAACAAAACACAGATACTTGAACTCCTCCACTTGAGGCAGAGCCTCACCCTCGACCTGAAGAGAGCAGAAGAAACATCTTCAGTCTGTCTGAAGAAGTCTTGGATAAAAGACGAAACGTTTCAACAAAGAAGAATCATCCGTCTAGAGGACCTGATTCAATCTGATTAGATTTATCTACCTGGATTACTGAGCAGCATCAGGACATAATAAACTAAAATTTCCAAATCTGAGTTGGATAATAGGACTGCAGATGTTTTTTTCTTTTCTTTTGACTGAATGGTAATGAATTAAGATTTTAAACCCATTTGATTAGTTTTTGACCTATTCATAAATGTATCTTCTGCTCCTTTTCTTGCTCCATCTGTGTCTTTTCTGATCAGTTTCTCCTTTTCAAACTCTCCTCCGTCTGCACCTGTCACACTCCAAGAGTTCCCAGCCTTTGGTGAATCGAGCTCAGGAAGTGTCGTTCAAATTAGAAAAGTGCGCTGACATTTGCCTCCTGGATCTGAAAGGGACGCTGGTGGAGTACGCTCCGGCGTTTTTCACGGATGAGTAAGCTGGATTTGTGTTTAGGCAAGAGCTTCACGTCCAAGATGGAGAGTGACACAATCAATTTTTCTGCATGTCAATCATCCTCGCTCGACGTGGAGTGTTTCCTGCTCTCAATTAGACAAAGCAGTTTGAGTCGGACGGACTTCAGTTTTGTTTTGTTGGTTTGCGTCTGAAGCCTGCAGAAAACCTGCACTGAGACCTTTCATGTTTATTTTATTTGTTTCTTGGGGAAATGCTTTCGACAACAAGTTGTATCTGAATGGCTGCAGTTTCAAAGCATTTCATCATATTGGCTCATTTTTTAAATTTTATTTATTTCTTTCAACACCTTAGATATCCTTATATATCTAACGTCAGGATAAAAAAACCTGAGAAAAGCAGGTGTATTTGTTAGAACTGAGGCAACAATCTTTCTTAAATGACCTGTCTGTTAAATTTTAGCTTAATTTAACAACCAAGGTCTGCTACAGCTCTGTTTCGTTTTGACTGAAATAAAACCAGATAACATTTATACTACAACACATAGACGTCACGCCAATTACATGTGATGGGGACGTGTACCCCCTCACATTTAAAAATATTCATTTGGACACACACACATTTACCATGAAACATTAGTTCACCCAGCGCTGTTTCTATTTCTTGGTGAACTAATCCATTCCATTTGATTAACAGGAGAATACTCAAACCACTAAAAGTCCACTCCAGGTTTTCCTGGTCTCTTGGCTTGGCAGGGCGCTCGTCTCTGAGGTTTTATTTGTCGACATGGCGGTGGTGGTGGGGGGCGGGGCAGACACCTCTGTGTTGCGCTTACCGCTACATTAGTGCCGGCAGCTGTTGACCGTGGTGGGGGTGGGGGGTTAGGATGCGTGAGAGAGGCAGAGCGCTACATCTGTAGCATCTTAGCTAGTGTGTCTGAATTGCACACTGCTAGCTTAGCGGTACATTAGTTCCTGCAGTTGTTGACCGGTGTGGGGTGTTAGGATGTGTGAGAGAAGAGAAGAGTGCTTTATTCACACGAGGTGAGCTGCTGGTTGAACTTCTTGTGCCGTGCTCTCCACAATAGTTACTGAATCAAGTGTTTACAAATGGAGGTAAACATAGATGTTTAACAACCCATTACAATGCACCAGAACGCAGGAAATGACATCTACTTTATTACAAAAAATTCTGGAGAAGACGGGGCGGCTGTGGCTGAGTGGTTAGAGCAGTCGTCCTCCAATGCAAGAGTTGGGGGTTCGAATCCACCAGCAGTCACGTGCTGAAGTGTCCCTGGGCAAGACACTGAACCCCTCATAGCCTCTGATGTGTGTCCCATCAGTGTATGAATGTGATGAAGCTCTGATTAGTCTCTTTAGAATGATTTGTTCCATTAGCTTTGTAGAGATCTAGTATAGAGCTGTATGAATGAATAAATGAGGCACAGATTGT